TACTCCAGTTGTTTTGCATCCCTTTCCACCTCTTGTCTGAAACAACTAGAAAGCTGTAATATATTTCATCAATACAGAATTGCAAGATCCTCAATGAAGCAATAGAAATGTCTCTGCTACAGAGTGGACACTTGGCATTTATATCTCAGTATATACCTTCACCTGGTTCCTCTTTGCATTTCTTAACTTTAAGCTAGATTTCACATAAGTCAATCAGAATTTATTTCCCTCCCCAAAACTTTTATTTTGTCTTTAATAGCAAGAAGTAGTGCACAGGCTAGCAGGGTTGTGGCAAAGACACTTACCAAGCCTGCACAGCGCTGTGTTCAGAGGTTGCCAATTAATCAAATATAAACTTTTGCCTTATTCAAACCATTTAATTAATTCTGATCCCCTTCACCCATCAACATTTTCCATCTTGGTCATCTTCAGGACTCAATACAGACTTGCATCCCTGATAGTCCTGACTTCAGAGCACAGCTACAAAACCATCATGCCGTCTACATAAGAAACCTTTTCAGACATACTAGTCTGTCACACTCTTACAAACTGGAATTGTCAGCTTCTCTTATCCCCCTTTCCTAAAGTGTAAAAAAAGAGAATTCTTCCTGGATCATTAACCAGCACTGTCCCCAGGGCAGAACACTGTAATGGTAAACATGTCATAAATCTTCAACAGCCAGTAAAACTTCTGGTTTTGATAAGATGGTAGTTTTTTCCAGACAATAAATGTTTAATACATCTGTTTGTTAGTTTGGATACAATCTCTAAACAGTGGCTCAGCATCTAAAAATAATTCAGATAAAGAGGGTCACAGAGATTCGATCAGTGAAGTAAGTTGCAGACTTCATAGCTGATAAAATGTATTTCTTCAAGATCAAAATACTTACAGAAGGTGAATAAAACAGAACATAGAAGAATACCTGAAAATGACACCATTTCATACCCTACGCTAATACTGTATGCTCAGATTAACACCTGTGATGAACAAGCAATTTTTCAACACAAATTAGAACACTGTTGGCCAATTCTGCAGTCATGAAGTATATTTATGCTACTTAGCTCCATCCAGACCCAAAAGAGTGTATTCACTGGAAAGGGTTTTTTTCCTTCATTGTGGTGGCTTGTATTTTCTAACTAGCATTTCTGGGCTGATGCTCTGTTTTATTCAATTCCATTTGTGTACTCACATGTATGGTCCTATGAGACATTCATTCTTCCCCATATTTTGCTTTCCTCGTTTCTGTTTCCTGCTATAACCAACACACACAAGACCTACTAATACTTTTTTTTAGTAGGAAGTGTTAATAAACGTGAGTCTACTAAATATGTTCACATCTAAAGTAACTTTTCAAACAAACTTGAGGTAAACTTTCCAGTTTGCGTTGAAGTTTAGTTTTTGACACAAGCACAGAACACAGTCCACACTAAATAAAATGTGAACTCAACTGGGAGATGAAAGTGTTTCAGTATGTAACATTTTTCAGGCATACTGACTTCAGATTTTATGTAAAATATAAGATGTGCAAAAAGATCACACAAAGCAGAAAAGGAGAAGTAAAGAAAGTGAATTAAATATAAGTCTTACAGAAAGCAGTTTCCTCAAAATAACACATTATGCCACCCTAGAGTACTTGACTGCAGTACTGAATTACTGATCAACAACCTGGAATCGATTGTTATTGTCCAAACTAATTATAATACAGAAATACATAGAGAAACATTTTAAAATATGTTTTTGCTTAAGACTCCTTGTACTACAAAGATCCTCTTAATATACTTAATATAAATATGTATAAATAAAGTGTGTATGTGCACAGGATGAGTTTCCTTCAGAAAGGCTAAGTTTCAGGTGTTGAGATAATGAGTATTCTTTAAAACTATACTCCTAGAAATCAAAATTTATACAATGCCATATATAAAACATGCCTTTTTTATCCCCCCACATATATTGCCATAATCAAGTCACATTATCAAAGTTATTTAATAACACATCATTCACAGATATTGAAGTTACAAATTAATTGAACAGAAGAGCCGAGAAAAACAAACAAGAAGCTAGAAAGACAACCATATCCATGAGAGAGTGTATTTACCAAGAAAAAGCACCAGGTATTACAAGGACAGTGTATTCTGAAGAACTGTCAAAACCACGAACTTCATGGTCTGTCAGTACTATTTACTGAATGCATACCATGTAGGCTATGGGTTTCTCACAGTTCATACCTTCTTCCATTCATACTCATCTATGAATATACAAGGAACTTCATAATAGACTGAGGATCTGTTATGCTTAATACTGGAGACCTTTCTGAATTGTCGGAAAAGTTTGCTTAGTTTTCTTTCTAACACCTCTTGTAAACATTCAACGCACAGAGTACTTTTAGATGACTAAGTGAAACATTACATATCTTATCTCAACACAACCATTACTAGCCACTTATCTAACAGTGAAACGTGTATGGGAATTCTGCCAGCAGCTGTACAGCTATCAGCTACCCAAATGTTTTATTTGCAAGTATGAGAAACTATGCAGTCACAAGCACTTTATAGTACTTCTTTTCTGTGTTTGAAGAGTAATGGATGTTCAATCACATGGTAGGGAACATAAGTAATATTTGTACCGAGGATTAGTCAGCACAGATGGATTGTTCAAAGGATGTTAAGAAAAAAATGGAAATATGAGAGTAATACCAAAGTTTAGATAAATTTATTTTCCATCCATTTAAAGAGTGGGGAAAAATATGAATTTTGGTAGATTTCATGATGAGTCAGTAAAACAAAGAGCCATTTCAAGAACTGTGCCTGGCCCTACACCCAACACAGTGCAGCAATCTTAAATTTTCAGACAGTCTTTCTCTAAATTAAAGCGCCCCCACACACCTGCATGATGTAACAGCACCATTCCTGCACAAATGTTTGTGTTTACACCACAATTCTCCTGACATAGTTTGGAGATATCAGAAATAGTCTAGCCAAATAAGACATTGATATGCAAGAAATATGAATAATCAAATAAGACAAGTAGGGACCAGAAAAGGAGGATTTTTTTTTTCCTGTAGCACAGGGTCAAATCGGCATAAGCCATCCAGAGGATGAAATCCTTCTGTTCAAATTTTCATAAACTACTTCCAAGTAATAGGAACCTCCTTATAGACAATTTGCACATAGCAAAATCACTTTCCAAAATACATTAGTTGTTGAAGACTCTCTCGTGTTTTGAGCATTTCATTTTCATTACACAGAGAGAGCTAAATAAAATATTAAGTCTAAATCAATTTGTTAATCTATGTTTAGATGCATAGGAACAGGACAGACTAAAGCACAACAGAGGAAAAAAGTATCTTTAAATAGCATTGCTTTGAGGTTTAAAAATCAAAACACGTTCACCTTAGCAGAAAGCGGAATTATAATATTCAACAGCTGGTTTTACAGTTCAGAATTTTAATTCTTTTCAAAAATCAGTATCATCAACTTTCTATTATTAAGTAGAGATATGAAGATGATTTGTTTAGATACATCTATGACTGAAGCTCCCCATAAAAAGTTAAACCCGGTCAGCAGTAAATATTGAACTGCCCTCCCAATTACAGAAGAGAGAATTTAGGACCATGTTAGTTTATCTGTTGCTCCCAAAACGAATTTAGTTACCATAATTAGTAACTACCTATGATAAAAGTTAATTACATTCATGAACACCAAATTATTTTAGACATATTTTTTCCACTCTTCGTATGTTGCTTCATAATGTCTACGCTACAGTGAATTCCCTGAAGCATTAAAATTGGAGATACTAATCAACTATTAGCTGTATTTGAGTGCCATCGAAGACAAGCAAATACTACCCAGAGAGGCCCGAAGGCATGTTCCATACCCTCCATTTTTTACTTTACTCTTTCCCTTTTCATAAATTTTTCAGTAATGATCATGCACTCTACAGCTGTCATTTCTCATAGCACTTGCATTACTTAGAGACATGCTTTGCCCATCCATTCAGAAATGCAAAGCAAGTGTTCATTATACACTATATCAAATATAACTGCAAGGTCCATGAGCAGCAAAGAGGCAACATTTCAATATGTAAACTACAAAATATCCACTAGGAAAGGATATTTCCTGGGTTACTGCTGCTTTCCTTTTCTTTCTGCATTAGTTTCCTGACAAACCTTGATTATATTCACAACACCTTTCTAGATAAAAATATCATTTCTAGGGGCTAATGGCATTTTACTCCAGTAAGGATAGTTACACAGAGTGGGGATTTCCCAGTTCTCCTAGTGTTTCTAATCCTAGTAACTGCATCATCACTGAAGCTCCACTGCAGGACTAACACAAGATGATAGGCACCGTGTTAAACTATCATCCTCACCATGCTTCTCCAATAGGAGGGAAACTGCTACTTTTCCCCATATAGAAGATGGTCCTTGAAGCAACGAAAATATATGATCATTTTTTTTACACACAGAATGTATAGCTGCCTTCTGAATACCCAGACATGTGCATACTATAAACACATAAAAGTCAACAGAAGGTTGAGAAAGTCTGTCAAAGAAGCTTAGCATCCAACTGAGACCAAAGGAATTAAAGCCTTTCTTCTTTATTAATGGTGATAGGTATAGCCTAAGTAGGACAGTGGTCAAATTAGCAAGCATATGATAAAGAGAAGACACTGAGTAGCATTCTGTACTGCACATTTCAGATGCCATGGGTGGGGGGAAATGCCTTACAAAATTAATAAAAAAATAATGAGTAAGAAAATTTTTATATCACCAGGAAATTTCTTCAATGAACACAGAAAGTCTCTATGTAAAGAGAAAAACTTAACACAGATTTATTTTACTGCCTACAAAATTTGGTTTAAACTCTAATCTCAGTTAAAAAAAAATAAAAATCAAACTTGAAGCTTCAAATTATATTGTCTCTAATACATTGATAACATTTACCTCTATTGTAGATTTATTCTCTTCCTACCCAACCAAGATGCTGGCAATGCACAGTACCTTTCTCTTGTCCACAGGTTTCTGAGGCAGTTGTGTTCGATTTTAAATTAAAGAGGTGAAGATCGAGCAGCAGCAGTAGCTAAGTCACTAGGTATGTTTGTACTGGGACTTGCCACACCACCACTCCTAGTCCTGTTGACACATTCTCTTCTTCACCAGCAAGGAGGGATTTTTGAGCAATATTAGTGACATCATCTGTTAAACAAAAAAAAAAAGAGATTCAATACAAAACAGATCTGATTAACAGCTTCGATGGTAGCAATGCAATAAAAAAAAAAAATCATACAAGGTAACAAAATGCAGCAGAATAAGATACAATGCAAAATTACAAGTGTGGCATCTTCTTTCTATTAAGAACATGTATACAGAGTCTAACTCATGGTCTTCTTTGCTAGATGGTCCTCAATGAAAGCAGGATGAAAGCTTCTAAACTACTTGACAATTAGACCAGGTCAATCCAGGCTTCTAATTCAGCATAGCTAACACTAAATTTGTATTCCATTCTAACACAAGTTTCTTTGTTTTGGGCTACAGGCTTAAATTATCATGGTGGCCACCTATAAATTGTTACATACATACTGGCCATGGCCATCAGTCTTTATAAATACCAAAAATATACCAACAGAAGGAAGTTATGTGTCCTGTTGAAAAGAGGACAAGACTGAATTTCAGAAAACCTGAATTATATTCTTCTGTCTATATATAACTCTCCTGTACAGTGAAGGTAATGATGACAATTTCCTCTCTGAAAACAAACAAACAAACAAACCAACCAATCAAGAGAGATGCACAAAGCCAATGATATTGTTTCTCTTCATCTTTCTTGGTAATATTTCAACATATTTTGATCAGATGGGGAAACAACAGAGGCATTCAAATTTTTATTAATATGCACACATGTTAGTTTGGATTGATATTTCCCATGCACAGAAAAACTACTTACAGAAATAAAATTATCTTTATGGAGATACCTTTACGGTAAATAGCACTCTGAAAGCTTAATGACTAGAAGGAAGTCATATTCCTTAATGAGTATCACCTACCTTAGTTCTCCTAGGGTGTCTAAACACTTGTGACACCACCTTTATTCACGCTGTGGAGTACAGAAGAGTAAAGCCTCCTCAACAACTGCTCATAGCATGCCTTTTGTGTTAAAGTGCAAGTCAGTGATTAAGTAAGAGTGATTCAGATAAGGCAAACAAATTTCAGCAATGTCTAGTGCAGACATAACCTTGCCAGTGTCTCCGAAGCAGAGGGCTGGCAGACCCAGCAAGGAACTAAAGAAACTCCCTGACTTTTAGGCAAGAGAGCTGGAAGCCAGACATGATACCCTACCTGAAGAGCACTGAAACATGATGGATGTACCTGTTACCATGTACATGGTTCAAGTATTCACAAAAAGCTGTACTTCACATAAAATACATCAGGCTTGCATCCAACAGTACCAGTCCCCAAATCATAACTCCTAAACTACTTCCCTTGTTGGGAAGTACCGCACTCATTTCTAGCAGTTTGTTTAAGGTTACTGAGTCAATTCTGTTGTTAGTGGCTTAAAAAAATTAATCCTGGCAGAATAATTTACCATGTTATTTGCTCAATAAAGACAGCCATCTAGGCAGTATTTAATGGAGAAAGAAAAAAAAAAAAAAAAAAGAAAAAAAAAAGTATCTGCATACTTATTTCCTCAGGGTCAAATTCACTTCTGTGAGAGAATACTTTTGAAGAGGATGAAAGTGCAGCTAAGGCCAGATCATGGCAGGAGATCAAACTGTTGAAACAGCTTAGTCAGCATCTTTAAGTAGCACAGAGGGTTGGAAAAGAGGAATTCAATCTATTTATATAGTAACAAACCTTCCCAGGGAAACAGGAAGGCCAAGAGACTATTTTTTATGACATCAGATATGCCTGACTTCACTCTATCTTCATCATTCTTTTTGAGTTGCCCTGTTCATAAATATTCCAATATTATTATTCCACAAAAATAATTTTGTTGCTTTCTTCTGGCCTTCAGGAGAAATTTGAATACACTTGAATAAAAGGGAAAGAGAAGGTTTTCCCCTCTTCAGATGTAAATGAGAAGCATCTAAGAGAAAGTAAAAATTTACTTGTCAAAGACAAGTAAAGACAGCAATCAGGCCATTAAGATGACAATAAAACAGAACAATACCCACAAGACTCAAAAGAAAAAAGGAAAAAAACCCTAACTTCAAATTTACAAGTTATCTAGGTAAGTTGTCTACTTCTAAAATGTGCTTAACTTCTAGCAGATCTATTCATTATACAATACCAATTCTTAAAGGAACTCCTAGATTCTAGAAAACTCATCATTAAGAGTTATATTTAAGTTCTTTAGTAAATTTGCAAATAAAAAGTATCTTAATAATATTTGTGGCTGGTAGCCTCCCTATATAAAGAGAACAGCGTTTACAAAAGTTTTGAGAGAAGGATGAAACACAGATCTAGAACCTGCAACTTCATGTTGCAGTAACAATAGCATGTATAATAACAATAGTATAAATAATGTGATGATACCTACTTTTTAAAGTGGATGTTTCAGTGACATAGCATACCGGTTAGACTAAAAAAGACAAGTAATTGGCAATAAGTCTTTCAGAAAGTATAGCAAATTTGAAACATTTAATTATGCTAGTCACTAGAAGTTGTTAGAATTACGAGCAACCACTGGAAACGTACAACCCAATAATCCTTCAGTAATCTTCCTATAGCTTCTTAAAAGATACAGTAATACAAAAGTAACTTAAAATAACTGGATACTTAATTTCACATTTCCAGTAACTGCTAAAATAAATATACCTCTAATGGCAGGGGGGGGAAGGATAAAGAGGGGAGACTGTTGCTGTGGAAATGTTTCTGTTGATCTGCAAACAAACAGAGAATAAGCCACACTTATTCAAATTCATTCAGAACTCAAAATATATCATGCACACCAAAAACTCCTCAAAGAGCCAAAATTATTATAGAAATAATTTAACAGATGAGCTGACATTTGATAAATTATCAATTTCCCTCAATGTAATAAAGTCAGCAACATATTCATATTCTGTAGTTATGGCAGTACATGCTAAATAAAGTAAGTTGATTAAATAATGTCTCTCTAGACAAAAGTTCAGTGTTATAATAATGAAAGGTTTATTTCTGTTTACATGGCAATTATTTGCAACACTTGTCAACATTTTCCAAATAGTTAGGAAAGGCCAGAAAGTATCCAAGTTTGTTTGCTTGGGTTTTTTAATTACAAACTTAAATACACAGAATCTCTGGTGAAAATTCTGTTTCTCACCCATTATTCCATCATGTTAAGTATCATCGTATCTTGAAGGCAACAAAAATTTAAACATAAGAGAGCAAACACTGATGCCAACCTCCACCCTTTCCTTTAGATTCCCAGAACAGCCAAACCACTCAGATTCCCAGAGATTTTAGCCAGATCTGTTCATATGGGACATCTTAGTCCATATTAACTCTTAAACAGAATACAGTATTTACAGAAGGTTAAAAAAAAAAAACAAAAAAACCAAAAAAAAACACCTTACTACGGTGGACAGATATTTTAGATTTCTTCTTGTGAAGTAGAACAGCTGAGGACAATTCCTCTGACAACTGAGTACAAGTCCATACATGTAGGGTCTGTGGACTACAAAGTGGGGGAGGAATCCCAAAAGACCTCCTTTTTCTGTAAAAGAGAGGTACTAACCCTTCCTCCTGTCCTACACACCTCAAACATCAAAAGGCAGGGTCCAACTTTAATCTTCAGAGTAGAAAAATAAGATAATCATCACATCCTTAGCATATGATAACATCAGAGTAGTCTCCCCAAATATTTCAGAAGCTGTCTTTATATCCCTGTACATCTGATCCACATTTTGAAGACTTTTTGGAAAAAAAGACCTTTTGGTTTCACAATGACTAAGCATAAAAACATGGTAGACAGTGATAAGAGTGACCCATATAAAAGGCAATTTCATCTGGGAATACAGTGCTGAGCACATCTGTGAGTTCTCTGCAGTAGTTGCTAGAAATTTTGCTTGGCAAATGCTTTATGATGGGAATGTACATTACAACTGGCTTTTTGTCAGAAGTTTTTCTAATCGACAGTTGGAGGAGGGAAGGAAGCGGTTACTTCTTATCACCAAATGTTCAAGTATTAAAAAAGCTTACTTCTGTCCAAAAACCCATGACATTTTAATACAGTACCTTGTTTTCCAGTCTAAAGCTTTATATGCATAGTATTAATTTGATTAATAATCTGTCAGCAAGACCTATGTTTGTCAGCTATACAAATTACATGCAAGAAGATTGCATCTTCCCATTCTTGTCTCTACTCTTTGATTTGTAAGAATGCAATATTTGCTTTAGTACCAGGTTCCCAGGGATTTCCAGCAGAGCAAAGAGTTTATTTACACAAAAATAAAAGCAGCACAGATACAGCCCTTAATGAATGTAAATGTAAAATGTAAAACACTGTGAATGCATCACAGTCCAAGGTAGAAAAAGCACAGATCATGCCACAGTGGCATCCCCTTTCAACAAAAAGACTTGCCAGCAAGAAAATACTGTAACATGACATTTATGGAACATTCTACATATCCTCAGCAACATACACTTAGCAACACGTGCAACCACCATCTCCATCATTCATATAGTAAACAAACCTAAAAAGGAGGGGACAGAATGACTTTGGGACCTTTTCCTACTTTTACTTATTTTTAATACCAACCTTGAAGTTGATATGGCAGAAATCAAAGACATGATAAGCAGCAAGTTCTTGACTACAAATAATTCTTTGATGACTACTAGGAACAATAATGGAAACTTTCCTAATCTGTTGGTTTTATTGCAAAATACGTGTTTGGTGGATGAAACAGAATTTTTATTTGGATACTAGAAACAATGACAGACATAAAAGTAGTCACTCACATTCCTGCCTCCTCTATGTTACAGCTTTCTGTTTTGGGATCCCCCTAACAAATCACTCCTTGGGATTCATTTAAACTTCTGCCAGCAATGGTGGACTACCAAAAATAGGTCAACAATTGAAGTTTGGTTTCATGTTGTTCTATACTGCCTTACTGCATAGTACTATACACAACTCCCAGATGGAGTGCATAAAAATGACTGGTGGGCAGTACATCATGCTTTCATAGGAATTGATATCATTCCTGCCACCTTGCTGT